AATAGTAGGTATGATGTTATTGCTCAAGGAGCGTTGACTATGTGTACAGGTGAAATAAAAGCCGGATAATTGTTGAGTATCCAGTGTAGAAGGAGGTAAGCGCGGCGAAGCCGGGTCGTATCACGGAAGGAGGCGCGCCGGCGTCAGCCGGCGAGCCGACTGGTATAATATATGTACATATGAGGCGGAGGTGGTGTAATGACAAGTCGACAAGGCGCGCGGTACCACTCACGGTACTCGCGCGATCCTGGGTTCAGATCCCGTGTTGTTGTTGACTATCATCCACTATTATATAACTTGCTTCGTCTGTTTTTGTTTGTTTGTTTGTTTGTTTGTTTGTTTGTCTGTCCGGAAATTCGGTTCGACCTGAAGAACGACTTGGAGAGGTCGGGTCAAGGTGGGAACGGATAGGGCATGGGATGTATCGAAATATTGTGAGTACAGTACGCCAGGAAGAACTGCTTTCAAATCAGTAAAAGCAACCCTGATTGAACACAGAAGTACGTGAAATCTAGTTTCGGCACCCAGGGCCAGCATCCGGATGACAAAATGACCGAGTAAAAGCCTTCACCTCAACCCCATCAGGCATCTTTGAAATGACTTGAAGCATGAGTTAAGGAAAGAAGACTACCAACACGAATGAGAAGTCCCATACATTTTAAGAAACTTGGAGTGGGGTGGCCGTGGACACCCTTGAAGCTTCTGTGGAGTCAATTCCATAGATGGTGAAGGCTCCGATCAAATCCAGTAGTGAGCAAGCCAAATTCAGAGCGCTAAATGGTTATTTCTTGTCGAATTATCTGCTCATCTAGGAGCTGGCTAACACTTATTTTGGTTGTCCGCCTTCTACATCCCGATCTGTTTCATCGTACGTTCCTCAAGTGCGCCTGTTGTTGGCCTTATCAGCTTTTTCTCTTTGTGGTATCTCTAGCGCCTTTGCCTACTTCGGCTTGGCTCTGCCCACGAGATCGTTCTGATTCATTTGCGAGAATACCTTCTTCTTACAACTGTTCTCGTATTCTTCCACGTTTCGGCAATACCGTGCGTCCTCTCACACTCTACGTATACAGGCCCAATACTCAAAGGTATGACTCGCCTGCTTTTCTCTGCAAAATACTTACGCGTTCTGTAACTTACTCGATCAGCTTTTTTGGAGCGCGATACGAAAACCATTCGGAATCACAGCAGATCGTATCCTCCGACGCTTGTAACCTCATGGTACAACATCACAGATGTGCTTTCGGCGAGCTTCATCCTTCCGGCGATACCTGGTCCACTTCCAATGAGCTGAATATCGCTTGGCCCTCGGCTCCTTTTGGGTGCTGTACTGAACATTTCGCCACAGTTTCGAACTGTTTCCTCATACAGACGACCATTCATATGCGGCATGGCTCTCAGTCACCTGATTCACCCGCAGGAAGCCTCAGACACTTGTAATTACGACGCTGGTAGTTGTACTCTTCGCGACGGCTCCGCTCTCTTATGGACACCTAGTCCCCATGGAAAGGTGCCGCTTCATTCCGCTGATGAGAATGTCAGGCCACCTCCTCGGTAGCATCTGGATTAGCGACTCACAGGAGTTCGCGTTATCTTGGACCAACTCCAGCACCCAGGTGCACGACTGCGACATGGACTTAATTCTCTCCGACCAAGGGTATGCGTTGGTTCCTATAACCAGGGTTAAGGCGCAACACAAGCTCTGACGCTGATATCGTATCCTCGAACAACCCGCCGCGCAACTTCTAGCAGTTGGAAGGCTAGATAGGATCAGCTGTAGCGGCTCTCTTTTATCACGCCCTTTCCGCACTTTGCGATAGGACCAACCTGCTGGCATTGAGCCTTCGCACCTCTCTCAAAGCCAATCCAACCCTCACCTTGCGAAGCCTGCTAGGACGTGACGACGTGGCAGCTTCATTCCTGGACCAGTTCCGTCCCCCTGAGCAGTTCCTATCGACGTCTCCGACGCCCACGATCACAATACCACTGCAATCAGGGACGGATTACCACCCCCACCGACCGCTAACACGCCAATCGACGCGTCGTCAGTTAGTCGGAGACGAGCGCTGCTCGCTTCCGATCCCGAACCTGATGAATCCCCGATGCAGCTTGTGCAAGCGTCCTAACGCGCTCCATGGAAGACCTGTCCATGGTCGACCAAGGCCCTTCCACCTCAGCGGCCTCCGTAGACCCGCTAGACCCGTCACCTCTTTCCTCGTCTCCCGACCATGGTTGGAAAGTCGTTTCCTCTCGCAGAGACCGTGGCAACGCGCATGACGTTCAGAAGCCTCCCGCAGGTCGTGGACGACGTCGTAGGCGCAATCGTGCTCAAGCCCAGCATCGTCGCCCCTCTCCAGCGCGCACACCCCCGCCTCCACCGCTCCCTCACATTGGACCGATGAACTTCAAGCACTACCTTTGCCCCTTCCACCCGTGGGCACAGTCGGTCAATCCCCGCCCCAGGGAAATGGTTTACTTATGGGTTCCAGGGTGTCACCAACGAACTCCCGGTGAACATCTACAAGCACATCCCCGACGCGGGCTACATGAGCGGGCGATTTGCTCGCTTCCTGTTCCCTAATTACGTGATCCCCGAATAGGAAGCCCATTCCCTTCATCGAACTTCAGTACTTAGAAGACTCCATCGGTTTCCGTTCTCGCTCAGAGACCACTATCGGTGATCTCTATTGTGACTCGTATCGAGACGAGGACGTAGGCGGGATCGCCCAGAACACAGACGATGACGAGCAATATGCGATTGACCCACCCACAAGGCGCGGATATCGCCCTGTTCCTCTACCAGGTCGTTTCGACAGGTTGGGGCACAGGAGTATCCTGGAAGCGAAGGACTTTTTCAGTCTTTCCCGACCGCCGCGACCTCCACTGTATCGTGCTCGATCAGTACGCGATCAACCACCTGACCGGACTGCGTGGATTCAATAAATCCCACGTATCCGTGAAGGATTACGTATGGGTGTACGACGTGAAGCCAACGCGCCAAGCAATGGAGCGTCCAGGCGACACTCTGACAGCCTCCCGCGTTCCGCGCACCACCGCGCTAGATTCGAACTCGGTATTCTTTTTCCGTGTGTCGCATTTCGCGCTCATTACTCCCGTTACCCTCCCCGACCCGGTGTACGGGATTATCCTTTCAAGGAAAATCACCTGAACAGGGAAAGTTGCGTCTCTCAAAGCGGTGTTCGAAGGAGCACCCGAGGCAGTCACCATCACCAACTCTATCTGCGACTTCCCTCTCGATCAAGTACGAGAAGACGAGATCGTCATGGCCACCACACGTGTTAACGGGTCGTGTGCCATGCGTTTTTCCGAACCGCCAGTATCCCAAAACGACCTCAGGATACTGTGTAACAATATCCGTCAGGTGCTTCCGATGCACCCCGACGAGGGTTTGGTTCCCTTGTACGTGTGGAAGCTCGATGACAGTGAGCAAGCATGGTTAGACGACAGAGCTGGCGTATTCCAGAACTTTTGTCTCCATAACGTGGACGCCAAGTTTCGCATGTCCAAGGTATTCAATATGGCTTGCTCTGCCGTGGCAGCTATTAATTCCACCGATGACGACCGCGAATCTCATCGAGCCTCTATGCCCGTTCCCCATCGATACCCGGTTACGATACTTTCGTTCGTCTTGAACGAAATGAACTCGGAAGCTGGCTGGTGTTCTCAACGTCCGGTCGCCGTGCACATTATAGGTTCCGACACCATAGTACGTGCTAAGGTCGCCATCGTTGAGGTCCTCACTGAGCAGCACGCGCTTCACGTGACCGTAGAAGCGTTCACCTGGTCAAATGGCGCCCTCATGGGATTAGTGCGTCGTCATGGTCGCCTTTCCGGCCCTTTGACCTTCGTAGACCTGGTCGTTCGGTAGGCAGGCTAAATAAGGATAAAGGATAAAGTCTTCGCCGTTGATCAATCCCTTTGTGGGATGCGGCACGCATTCTACTTCCATTCAGAATCGTAGTGGCTTATTGAATGCGATGTGGCCTATACAATGACTTGCGGTGGCCAGCCGATGTACAAGTCAGTGTTTTATCCTCCCAGACGAATCTGGTACCAATTTACCGTCCCCGGAGGG